CACAATTATGACAAATCACGGCTTGAACTATCTTGCTTGCATGTAATGAGTCTATCTCATTTATTAGTTTCACCTTTTAAGTTGCATTACTGAAATAAATGAACTATTGCACAATATTCAAATTTTTTGAGTTTCACCTGTATATCAAACTAACTTTTTTGGTAATTCTGGTGACATTTTTTTCAGCTATTTCTACCCACAAGCAATGGAGGCAGCCTTCTGAGCTCTATATTTATTTTTTTTTTTAAGAAGAAGGTGGCAATTATTGCCTCTATGTTTTCACATAGCAATCAATGCAAAAGTAAACCCTTAAAATATGACTTTTAATATTGTACAGTTTCCCTTTAAAAGCATAAATCCAAACAGCATTAGCTATTCACCTTCGCTCTAGTAGGGCATGGTAACTTGATATGTAGCTAAAGATCTTGAAACCTGCTGGGAATGTTTCCACCCTCTAATTATTCTGGCTTCACCCTCTCCTCTGGATATGGAAGGTCTTATCCAAAATGTAATGTGTGGTAGCCTTGTACATATGTTATCATAGTAAGCAATATAAATAAGTGTGCAATTAAAGGGGTTATGCCTTTTTTTTTTCTTTTTATAGGCCTGTACAGCCATACATTGTGATTTTTGGCTTGGAAATGCCTTGAAATACCTTTTTCTCTTAAATCAAAATGCATTTACTGCTGGCATAGATAATGACCCAAGCCCTCATCACAAGATATTGAACAACCTAAAAATGTATTAATTTAAAGAACCTGAAGCTGTTATACTTTCCCATTACAGTCTCTCTCTTGCACACGATACTGATGTCTGAGCATCAACATATCTGGCATTTGTTTTGCATGTATTCGCACGTATGTGCATAACAAATTCATAGGCAAAATCCATTAATATTTATACTGATATGCATGTACCGGTACAAATTACTGACCGGGAATGCAAATTTTTTCTATTTTTTTTTCTGAATTTTACTCAAAAATACTCAGCAGTTATACAGGCACCTTGTAAACAATGGGCTGCATTTTAGATCAGTGAAAAAAAGCTGTACTGAGCTTCTTCAAGCTGCAATGTGCAACAGGCCTAACAAAGAGCTCCTGTTTCACTCCTGTGGAAAGGTCTGCTATAGGGAATCCAGCACATGCAGGGTGACAAGATAGCAGGTGTAAGGTTTGTGACAATTGTACAATAATGGAGGAGATGTGCCTAGTCTTAACAATTTAGTAAAACTAAAAAAAAAAAATAAAAGTTTAGGCTTTAAATACATTTTAATGCCTTACATCGTCTGCAATGGATGCATCAGATTAATTTAGTTCATACATATACAGTTATATCTTATTTACTAAATAAAAACACCAATGTGAAAAAAAGGAAACAACATTTCAGTCTGTATCGTCTTTAATTATGATTCATAACACTGAAGAGGCAAGTCAAGGCATTCCCCAGCTAGTCTTAACAAAATGCCCAACATGATGATCCTAACAGAACAAACCTTAAGTTAACACAGATGCCATGTGGTGTAAACATATGACGACACAGCAGGTAGACAATTGTGCATAATGCTGCTGGTGCAATGTAATTACACAGGACAAAGTCTGCTAGGGATAATTGCAAAAGTGCAATTTTCCCTTAACAAGCACACACAAAAAAAATAAAAAAAAATTCTTTCCACGTGACCTAGGCAACAATTCTACTTCAATAATGAAAAGAGACACTGAAAATATTTGTATGTGCAATCACCCTTAAATTAATTCCTTGAAGTCTGATAAATACAGTATAAAGTGCGTTTGGTGAGGCACCACCAAATACAGTTTAAAGACACTAGCTTATATGACAAATATATGCATGGTATGGTAGTTATGGGTCAATGCCATTTAATGGCAAAATAAAGACTATATTCCTAAGGCAAAGCTGTCATAAAATGAAAGTAGGTTTCGACAGCCTCAACTAAAACTTATTGCAACTGGCTATTAAACCCCATATGCTGTTTATTAAAAATGAATTTAATAAGCAAATCTCATTACTCAAGTACATAATGCCACAAACCGTAGAACTGAAAAAACCTGCTCCCGATGAACAGCATTAACATTTATCAAACAAAAGGAATAAAATATACTCACATAGAAAGCACCCTACTGTGTCTATTCAATGGTTGCTGAACTACAACATTCCGCATGCTCTAGCATTCCAAGATATAAAGATGTGACTGCAGTACCAATGCAGAAGCAATGCAGCCTTTCACACGAAGGATACTACATATAGACAATTAAAGCAAATTTTTAAAACATTGCAGTAAATATCAGTTGCCCGAGATAATTTCAGCTTTATGCTGAACACCACTGGCACCAAAACAATGTCACATATTTCTTATGATCACACTAAAAATAGCAAAAGGCAAACATATTTTTTACAATTATAAAGCAAAACTCACTCTACAACCCTAAAGAATGGTAGAATACTATTAGGCTTACTTAATAAGGCAAAAAGCAAGGTGCAAAGGGCATGTATCCTTTAGCGGTCAATCAGAATCCATCTTTCACTGTTCTGATTGTTTGCTATTGTGTATACAGTATATCATTGCTCTTTGTACTGTCCTAATCATGAATATGTACATGGTACAGGCAATACCATTTACAGTAGATCGAAGATGGCTTTTGTTGGTGAAACAAGAGAGTTCACAACCTTGTTCTGCTTTTGGGGGCTGGATGGCTTTTGGGGAAATGGTATACCTCCTTTCCAACAATGCCAAGAGAAAGACTTTTGGAAACTATTCTAAAGCCTAGTACACACTAGGAGAATATTGGATGTCCGTTCATCTGATCTTTCAAAAAAGTGCATACCATGATGTAGTCGGAATGGTATTGACTTGGAAGAAAATTCTCGGCTGACAAAGGCAAATATAGCTACGTATTAGCGTAGTAGAAGAGGAAGTGTAGGGTTGTTCTAGGCTTCTGATCATGCACAATTTTTTCTATTCGATTATTTACGTATGATTACTATACCCATTCAATGAAAATCGGACGTTGTGTTCACGTACGATAAACATTTTCTAGCTGGCACCCTCAGGTCTTGTCGTCCAGAAAAGTCAGAATCAGCTCTCAAAAGTACTATACTAACAATCAGATAATCAGCCAATTGTTCCTCTTATGAAAATCATACAAAGATTTCCTTATCAAGTGCACAAGCCATAAGCCTTTCCATGTCAACAGTTTTTAACTGTACGTTCCCATTTACCCATGGTGGTAGTATCTTCTCATATGGGGTGGCATCACAGTGCCAAAGTGATCCTGACAGTTTTTTGCAGCGGAACATCGAAAAATTGAGGTATGCTATAAAATGGTTTTAAAGTCAGCTTTTTATCAATGGGATCTACGCTCAGTGCATGCATCTTAGAAATCAATGAATTCATACACCTCTCTACATGTAAGGAAACCTATGAATGCTGATATTTTTTGGTTATCTATGTTACATAAGATGACTTTATCACAGATAATAAATGTCAGTTTACAATATACTCTTTAGTGGTCCCCACAAGTTACTCCTAATAATTATGTCTTCATATCACAATAAAATTATACTCTCTTAAAAAAAAAAAAATCATCCTACATGTCAATGTACTGTATTCAAGTGGAATACATTGTAAAGAACTTCTTCTATTACAATACCTAAACTATTAGCAAAATACTTTACTGTCACTTACAGTATTCCAGATTTAAAAAAAATACAGGTTACCTAACAGGTCAGAGAGCAAACAATCTCCTACATTTTTTACATCTATAATTTGATTTAATGTTAACAGAAATACAAGATAGCAGGTCCATTTACCTTATAACTTGGTATGTAAAAAGATGTAGAGATATGAATATTTACATGTAATGGTAGGGAGCTGAGAATTTATACAAGACTAAGCAGAATGTAGGCACGAATACTAAATTCAATATTAGAATGAATATGCGAATATTAGATATGGCTTTTCTGAGGCTTTAGTTCTAATAGAAACCGTAAAATTGTGTAATGTAAACAAAAGCAATAGTTACTATTTCATTATCACGAGTGGACAAATCCACAGTAACAAATGGTGAAAAAGGTGAAGTACCACACATAGCTACCATATGCTCTCTTTGCAGTCATTCTATACAGAGGTTAAAGAATGGGTGATTGGTTAACATGTACTTGTTAAAATTGCAGGTGTGCGGTTTATAGTGTAACAGTGTGTGGTCAGATGAATCCACGCTGAAAAAAAAAAGCTAAAGTCCCAGATTAGGTTTAACCAAGATACTTCCTTGAGGCCAAACAGTAGCCATGCTCTCTAAGAAGCAGTGTCATATGGAATTCAAGAGCACCTAATACACAAGCACTTTGTGTTTCCTTGTTAAGAGAAAAGCAGCATCTAATACTCTGCCGTTATGAATGTGATCACCCTGACTAAAGATGCCTGCACAGTGCTTTCTTCTTGCATACATAACCATAGGGCAACCAATATAAGACATTACAGAAGTCAAGTCCTGCATACTGATAGCTTTTGTCATTACATTTTGACGGACATCAAGGCAGCAAAATGAGCTCATAGGTGATTTTTACATTATAATTGAACAAGGTGCTCTTTTTTAAACGACAGGTGAAGTTCAGCACGTATTACTAGTGGTAACTGCCAATTCAATGTTCTCACTTAGAAGCAAATTCAGATTAAATAATCCAGGGTAGTTTATACAAAGCAGAAAATTAAGCAGCCACATTTACACTTTACAGCTTGTTGGACAATCAGTGCAGTGGCAAAATATGTCCATGTCTAGGTTCATGCACTTAGCGCTTCTTATCCTTTGGAAGCATAAATATTTGAGGACAGGTAATGGAACTTCATAACCGATTTCATTCATTGTGCCATACTTTTATGAAGCCATTATTCCCATAAAGTCATATAGTGTTGACTCCTACAGTGCAGATGCTGAAAGCATGATGTCGGGATTGCCACTGATAAAGTCCTAGCAGCGTTGCCATGCTTAGGTGGCCTCTTCAGCTGGAGCTCTCCTCTGTCGTGCAGATTTTGCTCTTGTCTTCTGTGGAGTCAGTGGGGATTCTGACTCTGCAGCTGACTCAGATGATTCGTTTTCTCCTTGTAGGGAGGCACTATCACAGACAAGTTCTCGGAGGAACTTGAACTTGGATAAGAAAAGATGCCAGACCACGTACCAGCCTAAGAAGGAAATGATAAAGCATTAAGGAACAGCTGTGTAGCAGTCACATATTCATTTACCATCTTTATATAGATCTTTTCAAATCTCCAATATAGGAAAACTTACATGGGGAGAGGGAGGATCAGTACTCTGGCTTATTCAGGCTCTGCTACATACACATATGTAGGCAAGTGGTTAGCACTTCCACCTAGCAGTACTAGGGTCTTTGGTTGACAACCCAACCACAGCACTACCTGCTTGGAGTTTGCATGTCCTCCCTGTACCTGCATGGGTTTCCTCCCACACTCCAAAGACATGCTGGTAGGTTAATTGGCTCCTGTCTAAACTGGCCCTAGTATGTGTATGAACGTGAATTAGAGACCTTAGATCAGTGGTTCTCAACCTTCCTAATGCCGTGACCCTTTAATACAGTTCCTCATGTTGTGGTGACCTCCAACCATAAAATTATTTACCCAGTAATTATAATTCATGAAGTGTTGTTTTACCTCCAATACTGCTGCTTTCAACACAGCATCTGCTTTCTACACAGTAGCTGCTCTTTACACATCGGAAATATGTGTTTTCTGAGGGTCTTAGGGGACCCCTGTGAAAGGGTCGTTCAACCCCCAAAGGGGTTGGGACCCACAGGTTGAGAACCACTGCCTTAGATTGTTTGCTTGAGGGTTAGGGATGTGAATGTACAATACATATGTAAAGCGTTGTGTAAATTGACAGTGTAATATAAATTGTTGTAAGGGCTCATGTACACTGCAGCTGATAAACTCATGTTTAGGAGCTGTTCAGCATTTTTTTTTTCAGCAGCCCCTGAACTCCCCCTAATGTTTTCCTATGTGTCCATGTATACATCTTCGTTTACAGTCATTTACAGGCATTTGAGTTTACAGTCGTTTTTTTGAACACAGAAAACTTGCGATCAGCAGTCGATTTTATCAGTGTTTCAAACGCAAAACGCTTGTAACTGCGGCTAAACGTGGCAAATCGCATTTATTAGCATTTGAAAATTTTTTTACTCTTCCAGTTCCCGATGCCGTCCAGAGCCTTTTTTCATCATGAAAAATGCATGCAAAGTGTTTTCAAGGTACTCAAATGGACAAAACACTGAACACAGGATGTTCCTACTAAGCTCGTCACACATTGTAATGACCAATTCACACCTCAGACCTCTCCCACACTTGGAAACAAAAGAAATGTTAATGAGCAACTCACACCTAAGCTAATCTCAACACATACTGCTCTCTCTGCTTCTACTCTCTGTATTTCTCTGAAACAGTCTGAAATAGTTAATAATTTACCACTTTTCAGTGCATTCTGGGCATTTGGGAGATTCTCCTGTGCTTATCTTTAAAAAAAACGCTTCTAAACATAAACGCTTCTAAACGCGTTATGCAAACGCTGCTAAACAGACGTTTTTTGACCTACGTTTTCCAGCAGTCAGTTTCCATCGTTCAGAATTGTCCCGTGTACATGGGGTCCTATGAATAAAAATATGCTGACAAGAGGAGATAGAGGACCTCGGTCTGCTGCTCATTCACTCTCCAAAGACATGCTGGGGATAAAGGGGTGTCAAATCTTTGCTGTTTAACTGCAATACAGAAAAGTATGATCTCCAGCCTGGTTGTGCTGTCTGGGAATGCTGTATAAATCTCTTAAGTAAAAGGGGCTAAATAGCTTTCATTAGTATCCTGTTTATTTAGCACTTTGCTCAAAAGAGAAGTTGGGTTTTTTTTCCCAAAATTACACTTATCTAGGTGGATGCAGTATCGGTCCGATGCTGCATCTGTCCCCCGCCGGCTCTAAGGGTGAGAACTCAGTGATCACATGACCTCTGATCGCTGAGTTCTCACCACCACTGTGAGCAGAGAGTGATGACTGTCAGTCACCGCTGTTTGCTCTGCCCAAACTCCCCCCACACTCACTGGAGTGCTGGGCTGTGGAGGGGAAGGGAGCAGCTAGCTCAGGCTCTCAACAGATCACCGACAGGCTGAACCAGGTGCCACTCCAGAGTCTCTGGGGTGGATCCTGACTTTAAAGTCAGGATCTTTCCACAGCCTGCTGGACCAACTAAGTGACGTTAGCCGACAACGGGCTTCAGTCTGCTCTCAGCTGAAGATGGGACACAGGAGTGCAGAACGAACTGCACTCCTGTGATCCACAGAAGAAGTACAGCCAAAAAAGCATTGGCTGTACTTCTCCTTTAAAACTGTTTAATTTAAAATTGGGTTTTAAAACAAATTAGTATTTTTTACCTACTTGTAATTGACTCCTTGGCAAAGGAGCAATCTGGGTGTGATGAACCACAGTACTATGAAAAAGTAGCTTGATATGCTGTCTATCCTTCATGGTTTGTGAGTACATTTTAAATTGATTATCAATAATCATATGGGATAATGCGCTAGGCTGGTGTGCCCTCCTTTTGTGTGTTTTGCAGTGGCCTATTGGGACAACCCAGCCCTCAGAGGGCAGCAAGGTCTGAAGCATCCCTGTACTGTGTAGAAACAAGAAATACATAAAAAAATTGCTAGTAGTCCACCACGCTTATCAAGTATGGTGCAACATACATATATCAGGAACATAAAATGTTGGGGTAACATACACTTTAAGTCTACTATTTATCATTCCAGAGTCTACTGTTCCCCCTGGGAGTTTTTACCCACCTTTATGTATTACATCCCTTACACTCTACATAATAAAAAACAATTGTGGGAATCCCTCATAATGGTCAAAGCAGGTTCATTTCAACAGAGCACTTAAGAGTTTAAAAATATGGCAGGTGGTTCTCCAGCCATCTTGAGTAAGGGCAGATGATATATGTAGCATTTACTCCTGGAATCCATCTGCTTTTTGTTCAGGCATGCAGGCAGGTGGGTGTGCTTAGCTGAGAAAACCCATTCTCCCCTCCTAATGGCACCTGGGATGTATAATGTCATTTGCCTAGGCCTGGAAACCAAGTAACTTAAGAAATGTAAAAAAAGGTTAAAACAAGTAAATATGATACACTTTCCTATCTACTAATGCTAGCGGCATAAGGATTCAAAATAGTCAGTGTTAATTAACCAGTTCAAGTCCAGACACTTTTACCCCCTTCCTGTCCAGGCCAATTTTCAGCTTTCAGTGCAGTCACACTTTGAATGACAATTGTGCGGTCATGCAACACTGTACCCATATGATTTTTTTTTTTGCATTTTATTGAGACAGATAAAACTTTATTTTGGTGGCATTTATTCACCACTGGGATTTTTATTTTTTTTGCTATATAAATGAAAAAGCCAAAACATTTTTTAAAAAAGTGTTTGTCTTATAAAATTTTGCAAATAAATAAATCTTTCTTCATAAATCTTGGCCAAAATGTATTCAGCTATCTTTTTAGTAAAAAACAAATAACCCAAATTAGTTTATAACCAAAAATTATGTTTCAAAAAAATTTTACATTTTTATATTATTTGTTTTTTTTTTTTAACATACTGTCACCCTAGCAGTGCAGTGTCACCATAGTGACACTATTACTTGTGGGGGGCGATGAAGATTTTTTTTTTTTTTTTTTTTACGGATTGCTTTTACACCCATAAAGGCTGTAAAAGCAATAATTTCTCCTTCTCTCTGGCTGCATTCTTGCAGCCATTGAGAAATACTGTGCGAGCTGTGATTGGTCACAGCTTGTCACATGGTACAAGGCTGTTGTGAATAGCCTTGTACCATGTGATCTCTGTGATTATTCACAGATTTCACATGTAGAAAGCAATGATGTCAGAAGTGACATCTTGCTTACTACTATTCATGTGATCATTGATTGGCCAATCAGTGATCACATGATCGGGACCTCACCTCACGGGATCGGGACCTCACAGGTCCTGTACAGCGATCGGTGTTCCGCTGTGTCCGGAGGATTGCGGTGCTGCGCGCACAAGCAGGGCAGCGGGGAGGTCGTTTATAAATGGCCACCCGTCCCTGCACTGCTCCCATCCGGCCGTTTATATACAAGGGCTGGATGGGAAGTGGTTAAGAAAGTGAAGTTCCGCTTTAGGGTTGAAACCCCCCCCTGCCTCAGTACAAGCTATGAAATTGCTGTATATGTAGAATTATTGATAAAGAAGCACAGAGTCCAATAAGCTGTCAGATGAAAACCACCACATACAGTACACTATACACTAACAGAATATTCTAATCTCATGCAATAATACTCACCACACAGCATAAACAGCAGAACACAGATTAATGTGGCCACAAAGACCAAAAATGTCAAACCAACACTCTGCCACATTTTCTATTTCCTGTAACACAAAAAAGAAACAAAATGTCAAAAACAGGAGAACTATCATTATCACCAGGTATTTAATTAAAGCTGCACAATTAAAAATATTGAAAACGACTTTTGAAATTACTTTAACGTGTTAAAACCAAATTTTACTGACTGGTAATACATATACGTGAATGAACGCATCATTGATTGTGCAGGCCCTCTCTTTGAATGTGCTGCTACATTATTCAGGTGCTGTCATCCTTTCCTTATTTTGCATCAAGACTAGGTATAGAGGGACATGTCGTTCAGCAGGATCTCTACCACCACATTCCCGAAAGAGGGGAAGGATTTGAGTGTCCGCATTATCAGCAAGGTAGGTGGTTGAAGTGAGATGAGAAGAGTCAAACTTTGTTGAAAGACAAAAAAATATTTTTGATTTGCTTGGAAACACATACATTACACTGGCATTGCTGCTGCAAATGGAAATACATTCCGTAGGATATTTTGTTAGCTTCAAGTATCTGTAACCCTTAAAACATATATTAAAAATGAATGCACTCTTTTCTTCAATAAAGAATCCTTTACATGTCCCTTCTTTTCCTATTACACTGTCATTCATTAGCAACTACCTGGTGATCCTGCCAGTCGCCCATCGATTCCTCTAGCATTCTGACCACGCCACGTACAGAGGCAGATCTGGGCTGGCGTGGTCAGTTTGTGTCTCTCAGCTCTCTGATCAAAGCAGCAGGATACCATGCCCATGCATAGTATGCCTGTAGTC